AACAAAGCGATCGAGTTGAAATTCGAGGAAGAAGGTCTAAAAAGAATCCTGAGTTAAAAGCATGTTACGCTTGTTCAAACTGCTCAGCTTTACAATATTTTACGCCCCGGGTTGCTGTGTAGTACTGAAATTGCATTTAAACTGTCAGTGAATAAATTCATAGCTATCAATGGACTGCAACACGCACGTGAACTTTGGGGGACACGCCCGCAGAGCGACGATTTTGAAGGCTGATGACAAGATAGTTAGGTATGACTCCGCTTACGGATATCGACGGACAACCGGCTATGATATAAGCTGTCAGCAGTTCTTGGTGCATGCTCTCGAATGGCGTCTTTCTGCCTCTTTGGCGGTGCCTCGTTCACTTTCCATGCATCCCAACTACACCCGGATTCTTGATAATTTTCACATACACATTGCATATTTAACGAACCAACACTACGTAGCAGGCGAAAGTGTCCCGAAAACCTCAGCAATAAGGGGAGTAAAATTTTCTATTTCTTCAGGCACCCAGTCCGGACAACTTGCTGCTTGACGATGGCCCTTGAAGTTCGGATATATCAGTGTGGACAATTTTCCTACCTTCACAACAATTTAACTCTTTTTTTACACCAACGACTGTTCGGGTTTTTTCAAAATTCAATCACCAACTGGTCGAGTTTATTAAAACAATCAACCAGATTATCTTAGGGATCCATCATATGTTTTCCCGCTTCGCATTTTCCCGCCTGATTAGGCCTGCTTTCGGTACTTCAAAACGGGCTCAGGATTTCCGGCTTGGCAGGAGGTGAATTGACCTAGTGACTTGTTGTGACAAGCTTGAAAGTGAAACGTTCAATTATAATGTAGCTGAGTTAGGGACGTGTTGTGTTATAACACTTTTACGATTATCAGAGGAATAATTGGTTTTGATAGCACATATAAGGCAATATAAGCTATGCCGGGCGCTTTGCTCATTACCTGTTTTCTCAACGCTTCTAGAGGTATGCTCAAGAGACCACGTTTGATGATTAATTGACCACATTTTAGTCAGTACTTTTAGGAAAACCTTGGGCGTAGTCTTCATGAGTTCTTCAAACCCTTTTAGCGTCAGTTTACTTTGTCCCTGTGCGCTGTTTGGTTCAGAAATTACGTTTAGTCTGACCAGATTGACCAGATAGGAGTATTCGGTCACATTACCATTAGACTAGTTGTCGTGTTCCTTTGATATCATTTACGGGTGGCAGGCTGGATTAGGCGGTGATGGCTCAGCGGTTAGAGTACGAACTTACTGACCGGAGGGTTCGTGGTTCGGACCCAACTTTTGCCTCTCGACTTTTCCTGTCTAGGCTTGAGCAAACTGGCAGTACCCCACCCCTCGTGCTTCTTTCTGCTGGCATGACAGTTAGGTACCGAAAGGGTGCTACAAATGTACGATTATTTTATTTATTATTATTTATTTTAGGCGGTGATAAAAACGCATTTTTCTACTTAAAGTCTGCTCAGGTTTTGTTCATCATCGGAAATTTTTATCTGGATAGCTATTTTCGTTTGAAAAAAAGGATCAGATGGTTTCCCATTTTTTATATGAAGATCTGGTGTCTTTCTTGACCTTGGCGACACCCGGCTAAATGGTATTCGAACAATACATCAGTCGCCAAACGCTCCTACCTGCATTGGAAAAAGTTAAATCATTCAGCTGCAGTATCCTTCCGGTGCTTAACTGCCATGCCACCCAAAGGAAGAACGGAGGATGGGATACGGTTGGTTGGTCAAACCTAGACAGGGGAAGTCGACAGGCGGAGGTCGGGTTCGAACCACGGCCGTCCGGTCAATTAATTCGCACCCCACTTTAGCTCGGGTTCGAACCACGGCCGTCCGGTCAATTAATTCGCGCCCTAACCACTTTAGCCGGACTACGTGACTGTTTTCAAACCATATTGCGGCGACGTAATCTAACGTTGTACTTTCAGAAATGTACTCTACTTTGCTTTCTAACGGAAGATCCGTGGTTCGAACCCGGACTTAGCATCTCGACTTCTCCTGTATAGGCATGAGTAACCCGGCAGTATTCCAGCCCTCGTGCTCCCTTCGGGTGGCATAGCAGCCACCTTTGCCCCTTCTTGTTTTCATAATGGTTGAAAAGGGGACAAGAGACGGCAGTGATTTGGAGATCTTACATCGATTGTAACATTCTTCGATCCAGATTACGTCCCATCAGTGAGAAGCCGAGAACTTGTATGCAGCTGTAAGATTTTCCAAACCGACCAGGAGTTGCTGAAAAGCCGCAGTTTGATCAGCAATTCAGATGGCGGAAAAATGGATCTCTGTGACGGTTGCTTTGGTCTCCTACACAATGATATCGATAAGTTAGTTGTGGAAGTAAAGTCCGCAATGTGTCATCAACTTTATTTGGTCATACGGTAGGTTTTTTCCCGTTATTTTTCTAACTTATGTCGGGAAGGGGGGTGTTCGCTTTCTCGATTATCATGAGTTCCACCGAATGCCTCCGGTCATTAGTTATTCGCCGAATGAATCAGTCATGGGGACCTTGCCTGCGAATTCATAATCAAGCAGACTGGACGCTAAGTAACACCTGAGTAAATCAACCTAAGACTCTTATTTTCACTGACCTTTCCCCTTAGAAATTCGTCAACCACAACAAAAGAGGACGGATACACCCAAGTTCCACGACCTTCTGTATTCTACCACGGGCTACGCGGGTGTGGTGGAATCGATCAGGCCGTGAACGCCGACGCTGCGACTCGAGGAGAGAAGGACTGGTGCACGCTCTACCGACCAACCAACGCGACCACAGTAGATCTCACAATCCCCGTGGAGCAACAGCTCCTTGGAAGCCTACATAAAGGATGGATACGATGGTATTAGACAAAATCCATTAGTATACGTGAACAGGTGTGGACGAACACGCTTTTCGCAACAGACCCATTCGTTGAAAGTCACAGCTCAAGCGAAACCAATGGTATTTCTTCAGATTAGCATTCTGTTTCGCGGTAAAATTACTTCACATGAAGTCAAAGCTCATTCGAGAAATAAGCTATATTTTCTCGAGATAACAGTAGCAAGTGAAAAAAACAGGTATTCCCTTGAAATTGGTATTGTTTCTTTTTCGGGAAAAGGTGCTGCGTTTAAAAAGAGCTGAATATTGATCCTGAGTGAACCTACAGAGACAACAAAGCGATTTGAATGGTTAACCTAAGTGGGATGACTTCCTCCCCAGTCGCGTAGGAAGGCCAGCATAATTTTGCTAACACATACCTCTCGGCGGCCATTAGCTTCGAAGATCCACTCAGCGAAAATCAATCAGTAACGGTCGGAACCTCCCTCCCTGAATAAACCACGGTAGAGTTGCGAAAACAGTACTCCTTGTTCAGGACCCAGTGTACTATTTGACTACCAGATGCCTGAACCACTCGAGGAACGATAAACGATTCGCGCGGAGCTGGATGTACCACCGCGGGCGATCCCGCGGACTAGGCTTAAGCCAGAGAGAATAAGATCAACGAGAAAACTCACACAGGCCTGTTGTCAGCTATCAGACATTACATTGCAGTAAAGATTGTGTCATCTGTCATCCTTCGCAGAAGTTGTAGATGAAACCAGTCTTGGTTCCGGACATAATTCTGGCACATTGTTCAAGTTTCGCTACCTTGCAAAGATTATGATAATACGGAAGCACGATACGCCAAAACTTCCGTGTCCACTCGAAGAGGCTGACTGCTTCAAACACGTTTTGAAGTCACGACGCCAGTTTTAGATTTTAGCAAGTTCAGTTCTTTGTTGTGCATTTGTTCGGTGACCAGAGGATTGCCAAGAGAGAAGGAATCTGAGTGGCACAGAGTGAAATGAGGGAAACTTCGGACAACATAACATAGCCCTGTTCATTTCTGAATTTCCAAGCTCGAAAACTGCAAACGGATATGGGCTGGATATATCTGACGCCATAGCTTAGAGCATTAGTGATGAAAACGGATTAGGGGTCCTGTCAGTGGGACCAGAAGTGTCCCAGAAGAGCTGCTTGTAATCGAACAGTTCGGTGCTCAAATGACTTGTAGGGAGACAGCGGGTTCGACAATCTCTAGTGGAGTTTGGTGAGATGATGGTGATGAATTTCAGTAGGGATGAGACGGCCGTAGAGCGCTTCTTAACTCCTCAGCATACAGTGACCTCACAAAGGGAACGAAATATCCATTAAAACGCAGAGCAGTTTCCCCGTGTCAAGCTGCAACCTGAGGAATTGATTCCGCAGCTTTGATAACGAGTCATTATACCACAGCGAAAAGACTTGACAAGTGCGGCAGTCTTGTTCTGATACCTCACCTCCCAAAAAGCGATTTGTGGTGCTTCTCTGTTCACCGAACCCAAAGTCATTTTGGGGTCAATGAATGGAGCATACAGTGATTGGTTGCGTTAGTGACATTGCTGTCGTGTTTGTCCCACTAAGAAGACTCACTTAATGACAGTGGCAGACATTACGGTTGTTGGTTTGTTTGTTGAGTTGGGCAGTTTGATTGTAAACGATTCATCGCCAACCGGGATGACATCATCACTATGCTGTTAGGACGAATATCAGTGTGTCGGTGATAGTGCTGCTAGCCGGGGCTGACCTTCGATCATGACAGATTGTTCGGTCGAGTGGTTCCATTGGTTGGTTTGTAATCCTAAGTCCTAACTGGTCGGTGACCACGTGATTATTGAGCCTGGCCTCCATGTTCTCGTACTCCGGTCGGTGCTGAAGTAACCTCTGTCCCTGACCCCTCTGGGTTCCAGTTTGTGATATCTGTTGATCCACTCTAAGGAGTTTCCGGTATCTTGGTTTCTCAATCCGATATTCGGCTCTCTTTGAGTATTCCAGTTGATATATTTATCCTTTTCATGAAGTGTTGACCAAATTAGGTCAATTTCGATGCGTCAGCTGATCGAATCCGTCTTGATGTTCCGTGCGTTCAGAAACACTCCCTTCCCTGTCTCGTGTCTCTATATGCCAAGATTTTTGCGTTTCCCAGACTGAATTTATGACCTTATTCTTCCTTTTTGGGTGCCAAGGATAGGGAATCATGCTCTGTTACTCGTGCCCACGATTTTCTCCCAGTTTTTCCCACGTAGAACTTGTTGCAGTTGTCATTTTGTCGAAATATAAGTAGCTCGGGTGTGTTTACTGGTGGTTGATCATATGGCAGTTGATTTGTTCGCCGCGCTTGGCAATTGGCTTGCATGCGTTTCGTCCCCAGGGGTGCACCCAAAGCAGCCATCCAACAAACCAATGGGTTAAGAGGCATACACACCACAACACAGCAAAAATCACGGCTGGTCCAATAATAATGCAGCATTATTTATGTACCAACCAGCTACTCTTCAAAAACTACGTAAACGCAGCTAGACACGGAGGAAGCACCCACACTTAACTGTGCACTGACGGTGCTCCTCGTCTGGAGACGAAACGTGTGTAAGTCAATCGCCGAGCTCGGAGGAACAGATCAACTGCCATCTGATCAACCACCTGTTGCAGTTGATTTGGTATATCACATTGTTCCTCTTGGTTTTTTCTTGGTCATCCTTCGGTCATCAGATCAGTTTCCTCAAAGTAACATTAGCTTTTCTGGGCTACGATGGTTCCTTTCTGAGCTAACAATGTGGCATTGAGTTCAGGATAGGGCTACTCGCCTGGTCGCTTATTCTTGCTGTCATTGGGACGTCTTCTTCTTGAAGCTTTTTCCTGATGGGATTCTTTGGATATCCAGTTTTCTGGAATACTCTGAATAAATGGTTTCCTTCCTTCTTCTTTGGTTCTGTGGTGTGCCTCAGCCCTCTTGAACAGGGTCTGGACGCAGCTCTTCTTGTGGTTCAATGGATGATTGCTGTCATATTTAATCCGTATGTCTCCTACCGGTGTTTAATAAATCGTCCAGCTTGATAGTATACTTGATGTCTTCAAACGTGGTGTTGAGCAGTTCCTGTGATGACGAACTTGTCGTTCATGTAGTGGATCCATCGCTTTGGATTGATGATTGGTAGTACCGTGCAATGTATTCTCTGCGTTACCGCCTCGGTGATAAATTATAAAATTGAAGTACCTATTGGAGTCCCTTTCAGTTTTTGATCTATTTGTTCATCAAAGCGTCCAAGCTTACAAATACATTGTGGTTGCATCGTTTCTGTCTTGTTTCGGTTATCGCAAACAGTTCCGTTTGCAACTCCCCTGGCGAGGTTGTGGTGAATTGAAGTAAACGCTGACAAGACATCAAACAGAAGCATGATTCCGTCGTCTTCTTTAGTGTGGTTTGCTCGGAAATCGATCAGCATTGCTGATCGTGTGTCTTGGTTCAGAAATCAGGAGTTCCAACGTTCTCCAGTGTGTGAGGGGACCGATTCGAGGGGGTGAAACGGCTTGTCGAATTGGAGTTCCTTCTTTGTGTACCTTTGTCTGTCCCTAGAATTGCGCAGTGTTGATGTCAGCGGCCTTGATTCTTGGCTGATTGTCTCATGTGTTGCTTGCTATTTCCTGAGAGCCGTGTGGTTCAAATATGAGTTATGTCTGACTGATTTGTAGGTCTTCGTGTCTGGCCCTTTCGATGTAATCCGGCTCGCTCATTGTCATTGTTGCGCGCCATTGGTCCGCCCATAGTATACTGGTTATCCTATCCCATTTTAGGCTAGCCAGCTTAGAACCTGCCTTGAAATCAAAGCACACCCGAATCAACAGTCATACGGAGTAGAAACATGCAACTGATTTCCGAACAAGAACGAGACGCATTTGCAAAATTTACAGTCTATGGATGGTAAGAAATTGTGAATTGCGTAGGCACGAGAGAGACAATCGATGTGATGGATAAATTTGTTTGCCTGAACATCTGTGGAAGTTCCGGTGAACTGGCTGGAGATGAGATCATTTCTCGAATCGGAAAGGCCAAGGCAGCTGTTACCAACGTCTGACACCTGTGGTGTCGATGTCACGTGAGCTTGTCTGTCAAGGGAAGAGTTTACACTGCGGTGATGCGATCCATACACACAGAGGACATACGAAAGATGTCAAGGTTTGATCATCGTTGTCTCCGCAGCATTGGTCAGGTCTGGTGGGAATATGGGATTATTAGTGCTGAGGCATGCCAGATGGTCTTAGGAAGAAGGAACTTTCCCGCGATAGATGAATTACTCACACTTCATAGATTTCGCTGGTCGGGGCATGTACTTCGCATGCCAGGAGACCGTCTGCCTCACAGAGCTCTTCTCTCCCAGCCCTGTGCTGAGTGGAGGCGATCACACGGTGGACAGTGTATGACCTGGAAACGAAGTACGAAAACACTAACCAGTAAACTTAGTCGGGTGAGCAACTGCCGCCTCCCCGGATGGGGACCCAGGGGCTCAAATCACCAGTGGTTGATGACACTGGCGGAAATGGCCTAATCGGGCAGTTAGTGGCTCGTCTTCAATGCGATGGCTCAATGGTTAAAGCGCGAATTTACTGAGGGGAAGGTCCGTGGTTCCAACCCGACCTCTGCCACTGGACTTCCCCTGTCTAGGCTTGGGCAACCTGGCAGTGCCCAAGCCCTCGCGCTTCCTTCGGGTGGCATGACAGCACAGCACAGAAAGGGTGTTACAGCTGAACGTTTTTTCAGTTCGAAGGTACCCATTTTCTGCCTTCGCCTCCAACGCTTGGTTGTAAATTGCACTTTTCGTTTTCCGGTGAGCAGCAGGAACCAATGTGCCTATGGCACTGATAAATTGGATTGAATTGAAGCGACAGACGCCAGATACCTGATTCATTCACCCAAACAATACAATCAGAGGAACTGGTCAAGTGCCAGCTGACAAGTTTGCCGATTTGGGCAGTAGGTTCGCAAATGTTTCGTTGCGTCAGTGCGCGATCGGGTCGCGGCCCAAATTTACGTGCATGTCACTGATGTGCCACATCGACGTGGCCATTAGTTGACAAATAGTATAGTAAGGGGACTGCGCCTACCTGATGAGCCCCAAGAGGGGCGAAACCGGTCGTGAGCTATCGAAGAGTTTCTAGCAACCTTGTGAGTAGTTTCCTTTATGAAAACATACAGCGATATCTCGAATATCGTGCCAACTGAAACATGAGGCGGCCTGTGTGCAGCACATTCAGTTGTAGAATATCATAAACGAGAGATTCTGTTGAGTCTCTCGTGAAAACCAAATTGATTTTCAAATGAGTGTATTTCTCGAAAACAGTGCAATTTGGGTTCAAGTAGATCGTAAGGTTGGCGGAAACTCGGGGACTGCGCCTACCTGATGAGCCCCAAGAAGGGCGAAACCAGTCGTAGGCTGTCGAAGAGTTTTCAGCAACCTCATGAGTAGTTTCCTTCATGAAAAAATAGTAAGGATAGTTCCATATTGCGAGTTAAGCTAAGTTTCATTGTTGTCGGGCACTACAGGTAGTTTGTATATCACAAATTTCAAAGAATTTTTGACTGGAGACCCCGGCATTCACTGATACAGCCCTATAAAAGTTGGAAAAGGAGGGTGGTTGACTGCTTTGTAAACGCCTTACTGCAGCCTAGTTGTCACGATTCAGCCCTTGGACAACCAGTCTCGTTTGTTTTGATGATACGACCGAAGTGACTGTTCGTTGGGCTGCTTTCCCGTTCTGCTATGTTGAGTCATCGATAGTGAGAACCTGAAATCAAGTTGCGTTTAAGCCGAACGCCCTGGAAGTACACAGCTGACTGCAAGCCGTCTAGATCCTGAGACGGTGGTTGGGAAACACCGACGGACCTCCGGCTTCTTTCAATCAGCGAGTCTGCTGACAAAAACTTATGACTACAGCTGGGCTGTCGGTTTTATTATTTACCTTTTTGGGTGAACAAACTGGATAAAACTGGAGCGAAGATTTCGAGGATTTGTCGATACACCACACTTAGGAGCTTAGCAAAAATTAGCTTCCCAAGAATACGCCACACTTGAAGTGATGGATGGACTTTTCAAAGCAGACTGTAAGTCCACTGCACGCAGCCATTTTATCATTTTTGGCTTGGAGCTTATAGTGAAATGAAGCAACCGGTTGGCATTTTCGTAACATTCAGTCAATACTCTACCAGTTTTACCGGGACCAATCGACTTTACTGTCTTCAGGAATCGTCGTACCATTGAAAATATGGTTTTCGCTAACAGGCTTCCGGTGCTTTAAAGCACTTTTAGTAATCATATTTGTGAACAATCGAGGAATAATTGCAACAAGTCGAGTCTTGTTCGCTTATCCACTGTTCTATTTCGAAAAGTTTTAAAAAGCCGGAATATTCATACATCCTGTGGCCGAGTTAAGGATGCCTTCAATGGTAACACCTCTTCTTTAAGACTGGTGTTGAAAGCCCACAAACACAGAGGAGTAACGACACTACCGTGTGAAGGGCGTGTGATGGTTTTCTCACCGTCGAAGAAAACCTTGTTCAATGTTTAGGTGGCTCGACCCGTGTTTTTTTCCATTTACTGGTTCGCAGAGTTTGAAAATAATACATGAATGCTCTGCTTGACCGACCTTTACAGATATCTTCAGATACCTTACTCCGTTCTACGCCCAGTCTGGTGAACTTGACCAGAAAGAAGTAGTTGGCCGACTGCCTCGGAGTTCTGGTGTTTTCGATGGTCCGGTCTGCCCAATTATTGACGTAATGCCATAGGTCTGTCGGCCGTTCGAGGCTTTAATCCTATTGGAGCGAATTCAAACAAGTCCACAGCGGTTTGAACCAGAACGAACGACGTCCCCGACACGACAGTGTTCGATGTGTCACTCATTACCCAAGGAACACCCATTTGCAAACAAATTTGGTTTTGCAAGAGACCTACGAGGAACCCAGCTGAATCTCTCGTTTATGAAGTTTTTTTTACTAAGTTAGTGAAACTTGGGTTCAAGTAGAACTTAAGGTTGACGGAAACTCGGGGACTGCGCCTATTTGATGAGCCCCAAAAAGGGCGAAAGCGGTCGTGGGCTGTTGAGGAGTTTTCAGCAACCTTATGAGTAGTGTATTCGTCCCAAGACTCTTTGTTCGTGCTGCCGATTGATGTTCCATGCACACCCGTCCAGCGCTTTCGTAACTCATCAGGTGTGTCCTACAAAGCTGTCTGAACCGCCTTAGTCGGATCATCCTACTATTCAGAATCTAGCGCAGGCCACTTTTACCGGGGAACAGCCTAAACCAGCTTACTTAGCGAATAAGGGTCATCTTCATTTATCGGAATTAGTTCCGACAAGCTCCCATTTATGGGGAATACCATCTTAAAGCGTTACCTTATTTCCAGGAGTATGTCACGAAAAGGCCAGTGCGCGCGATCTCAGATGCAGTGGATCGATTTCCTGGGGACAAAGGGTCCAACAGGGATTATGGATGAAATTTCTTGGATAAAACTAAATAAACGCACAAAAAAATGCGACAAATAACTTATTTTAGCTACTGACCGAAGTTTTTCGAAATTTTGCTCTTAAAGTGCGACTTCTATCGGTGAACAAGTTGCGATCAAGAATGTCGGAGCTCTCGACGGGGCTCTACAGACAGTGTGCGAACCTTAAGTCGTTCGTAGACATCCATGAGTACATCTCGAGAATGCTCATCTGAGCATGTCGACGTGGACCACCTCTCAAAATGAGACCAGCTATCACTCACAAGCTGCAGTAGCCGATAGAATAAGAATTTTTTACCACTTTGTTGCTGGGTTTTCTCGCTATGAGAATTTTTCGGAGAAACTAAAAGTTTGCACATTCTGCCATGGTGTAACGAATTTTCAACCTGGGTTGAATCACTGGGTGGTGCCGAGTGCCTACAACGGATAACTGAGTTCAACTCGTGGTAGCATCCAGGTATCTGTTTCAAGTCAAACAAAAGTAAAGCTGACTGAAGCGAACGAAGTTCACCAAAACACAAATCACGATGGTAACTCCGATCAGAATGACAAATCAGACAAAAAATACCAGTTCGTTAGGGGGGTTTTTGCTGCCAAGTTCTTACAGTGTCAGAAGCAGAAACTAAAGAGTACATGCTTGCTATATTTTTTACTATCACTCAGTATGTCGCTAATAAAAGTGAACTTTTGGGGTATTGAAGGTCAAACGATTTTTAAATAGCCTGTCGGACAAAGTACAACAAAGCAGGGCAATGGTGAGTTCGTTGAACACATATCATTCTCATTTGAAGACCGACCCCAGAAATCGGGACGTTTATAAATGGTGCTTAGGCTGCAAGCCGAATTTGATCGATTAGGAAACACATGGGTAATGAGTCGATTGGCCCACTGATATATGTGCTTTTTCAAGGGAGTCGACCGGCCGTTTGCTGCCGAACGGTTAAGTATTCAAACTACGAAATTGGATCTAGCAGGAGTTTCATAAGGTCGCTGAAAATTCTTCGACATCCCACGACCGGTTTCGCTCTTCTTGGGGCTCGTCAGTTTCCGCGAACTGAAAGAGTCGTTCAGTGTCACGTGCAATATCGTGTGTATTGTCGTCATCACTGAGAAAATGGGTCAAAAATGACAGTCGATGAATTTCCAACAACCTTATGAGTAGTGCATTACAAATGCATACATGTATCACGATATCTCGAATATCGTAGCGACTGAAACATGATGCAGCCTGGTGCAGCACATTCAGTTGCTTGGAAACATCACTAACGAGAGATGCAGCTTGGTTCCAGGTGAGTCTCTCGAAAACACCAAATTAGTTTGCAAATGAGTGTATATTCGCTAATTTCGCACAATTTGGTTTCAAGTAGAACATAAGTTTGATGGAAACTCGGGACTGCGTCCACCTGATGAACCCCAAAAAGAGCGAAACCGGTCATGGGCTGTCGATGGATTTTCAGCAACCTTATGAGTAGTACATTACAGTGGTAATTTGTTTACTACAAATACTTTCATTTGCAAATCAATTTGGTTTTCGTGGAAGACTCAAGCGAATCTCATGTTTATGATGTTCTTCAACTGAATGTGCTGTACCTCATGTTTCAGTTGCTACGATATTCGAGATTCCACGGTATGTTTTCATAGAGGAAACTACTCACAAGATTGCTGGAAGTTCTTCTACAGTCCGATTTGGGTTCATTTATAACATAAAGTTGACGCACACTCAGGGACTGTGGTTCTGGTCAGCTTTTAAGGATGAGCTGAAGGGCGCGTCGTTTTTTACACCTTCAGGGAATGTCGACGTTTGAAAATGGTGATGATGAGTTGATTGACAGAAAGAGAGAACGAGACGACCAAATCAAGTCATGTGATGCCTCGTGACTAGAGATATCGATTCGACCATTTAAAATCCACCATGTGTTATCCACCCCGTGAATCATCCATTTCGTTTTGGCTCATTGGGGAATAATTCCTCTGATGGGCTTCCCGATCTGTCAATGGTACTTTCGTTGTTCCATCGCATATTCAATCGTTCAAGGTCACAAAGCTTCGACACTCATGTGCGATGTAACAGATTAGGTCCAGGCGAACGAAAGCACTGCTTTTCTGACGAAGAAAAAGTTTCCTATGAACAATGCCCACCTCCGTTGGATGACGAATTTGATGTGGCTCTGCTACGACAAAGAAGCGGATCTGTACTATCCCATTCTTCCGCGGGACATTCAGACTGGTCTCAATCAGGTTCGAAACCGAAAAGAACCAATGGCCGACGACTAACCAAGAAACGGTACCATTCACTGCAGGGAAGGTTTGGCATTGATCTTAGCGAGGATGAGTACAAGTATGAAACTAGCCAGATATTGGGTGAACTCCGTGCCTATCTCTTTCGACACCAAAGGCTGGATAGTTGGGCCGAGAGCTGGAAAGCCAAACATCTTCTGGTGCATTCAGATGACTTCTTCAAACTCCTGCTATCCAAAGACGAAGTCAGTATGTATCTTGGTTTTCCTGAACAGAAACAAAAATCGCTCATGCGAAGAAGATCCGCCCAAGGTCGAGCGCTAAGCACCGGGACAAATCTACCTATTCAGTACCAAATCCGGCGCGACCAGCTCATTCGTCGAGTCCTCGAATCGGTTGGGAAACAGGAAAAACAAAACGCCGCGAATGACAAGGAAGTTACTGTTCAAACGAAATACGAATATGAGAGTTCTTTTCAACCGGATGACAGCAGTGAGTATGACTGGGTGAGGAGCTACCAAGAAACAGAACGTGAACCATCGTCCAACTTGGAAGATGATCGGTTCAATTCGAGACAACTGGCCAGCGCTCAACCTGGTGTTGGCCGTCTGGTGCAACATGAAATGAAGTCCGAATTAATTATTGGTAGTTCCACAGCGATTGAAACCGTGGCCTCTGAGGTTGTCAAGACCAAACCTATACACACAGGTGACACGGAACAAAAACCATTGGAAAGACAAGAACAAACAACTCAAGAGACCTGGAAGGACAAAAAAGTACAACCTAAAGATGAATTGCCACAAACCCCACCGTTAGCAAGGTCAAAGGGCAAGTTGGTTCCTACTGCAGGATTGAAAAAGTATGTGTTATCACCAGGAGATGGTGGATTCAACCATCCAGACAGTCCAATCAGTAAGTATGAAGTTGAAAGGAACCAAATATTTGGAAGCGTCCCAGTGCTTATACCAAGCGGAGAATCCCGTTCACGGAAAGAATCAAGGCGATCAATTACCCCACTAGATAGTTTATCCGCATATACTGGTTCTCACGTGAGTGAATCCAACCTATGGGGGCATTCACATAATCCTTCACGTAGTTCACTGAAAAACGAGGGGCCTACAGATAAGGTGGTAAAATCGCAGTTAAGCAGTATGAGTCGACCAAAGAGTGAAACTCTTCCAGAACGAATGAACAAAGATCGGCACGTCGCTAAGGAATTTCCTAAACCGCCATTCAAAAATATGGACTCAGGAGTGGGCACTTCACCAAAGAGTCGGACTAATGTTCCGCCAGAAAACAGATCACTGAATCGCCCTAAAAGTGTCCAGTCAGCCCTGACAGGATATCAAAGTCCACAAAGGCAAAACACGGTTGAAACCGACGATGTCCACGGGGTGAAAGCGATGAAAAGACATACTTCTAAGCCGGATTCAGTGAGTTCCGTTTCGAAAAACGAAAGATCATTACCCCTTCCGAGACCACGTCATCTGAACATCCCTGAGTTTGGAACGAAGGGAAACTCTGAAGTGCAAGGATCATACGTGAATAAAACATTGCAAACCAACGAGGAGTCCAAGAAAACGCCTCGAAGATATGGGCTTCCTCCACGTGCTGGAGTGCGGATTTTCACTCGGTCTCATCTAACCCACGAAGTGCAAAAGCCATCCACAACCCGGGCGGTTAGTGCCGGCACAACGGGATTTGGGAGCAGACGTTCTCCACGTTCGCTTCCTCCACGGACGACTTACATGAAACAGAGTGGCTTGTGCAGGATATTCTCACAGAATCACTGCTCCGCAATGGGGCAATTCAATAGTAACAATAATAATAATAATTGTAATAACGACACTGTTGCACAGACACGTTCACGGATGAGGTGGCCCTCGTCTATGACACAACAACTCATGCAAAAAAGTAAGAAAAATCATAGACACTGGTTGGAGCGACTCACGAAACATGTTCAACAAAACGCCAAGTGGTTCCAGGCTAACAATGGAGAACTAGACTATCAAACGATTTCAAATATCCAACCATTACTACGAGTGGAGGATCTCAAGTCGTACTCGCTGACACCAAGCACAATGTCGACACATTGTCCGGGAAGAACGAAGCGACAAGACGATTCGTCAGACACTTTCAAGATGTCCGTCTCAACCGAGTTCCTTCATTCCACTTCGGATGAAAACCTGGCTCACAAACACCGACCCCGACCGGGAATAGCCCCAGGTCGGACAAACAACAAAAAACCACTGACGAAAGAAAATGTAGTCGTTGCCGCTACCGCGGTCGATGAACCTGTGCCGCACAGCACTCCAGTACTGAAGGAATCCGAAGACCAACTGGAAAGTGTCGCATTAATCGAACAGCAGAGTTCTTCCCTAGATGGAGAAAGCATGAGAGATATTGTTGACGAAACCATCCTTCCGGTATTCCAGGATGAGTTATCGAATGACCAGATTGAAAGCCAAGGTGTAATTCAGACACCAGAACCGAAACCTGAATGCATACAACAGGTGACCCAAATACCCGTTAAACTGATGGACCATAAAGCCAGTGATGAGAAAATTCGACGATATGCAAGGCGCCACCGTTCTAGAAGACGCACTTCAACATCCAGAGAACACCGTACTAAAATCCAGAAACCACCTTGGAACTCGAGTACAAGGAACGAAGCCCTACAGTTCTACACAGTGCGCCCAATTGAATCATTTCTCTGGCCCGGGGGTCACAATCCCAACGTTTCCAGGAGGCTTCGCTCACATGCAAGAAGCGTTTTTGCAACCGATAGGGCAAACAACATACGTTCGTTAAAACGCATACAGTATGAAAATTTACCTGGTAGATACCAGAAAAAGAAAAACCGAACCACGAGACTGTCACAGATAAGAGACGGAAAAGAGGCTGAACGGGAAACAAGCAGATCTGCAGTTCGAAGAAAGCAACCAAATGACAGCCAAGGACAGTGGGATAACAGGCAGGTTAATTTCAGTGAATTTTCAAAGCGAAAGGGCAGAAGGGGCCGGTCTTCGTCCAACATCAGATCGGAATTGAGGCAGAACCAATCCAAAAGCCCAGCACGTGATTGTGGTTACGTGAGTCCCTTTGAGAACAAGCAAAACTCGCGCGTACCCAACCTAAAGAGTACGGTTTCCAAAAGCTTTCTGAATGGCCCAAGAGCATTTAGATGTCGTAAAAAGGTTGGTGAAGGCAGCCGAAAACCAAATCTTGACAAAGAACAAGCAAAAAGAGTTAAAAGCACTGACAATCGACCGAGGAGGTGTAGCAGATACAAATCAACAACTTCCAAACATCCAGGTATACCTGACACAAATGTCAGCCACTTCGAAACTGTTAAGCNTACAAATCAACAACTTCCAAACATCCAGGTATACCTGACACAAATCGCAGCCACTTCGAAACAGTTCAGCAGGATGGGAAACTTGTGGACTTCGTAGCCTACATCTCTGTGATTCCGTCAGAAATCGATGAACTAGTTTTACCTTTTCGTGCGTGTAATAAGATGCACCACATCTGGTCTGAATCGAAACAACTACTGACCACACTGGAACGTGAATTCGCACGTCCAAAGGCGAACAATGAGCGAACTTTTGAAACGGACTCAGAGCTAAACATGAATCACGACACAAAGTATCCCAGGGGAACGAGTGCGAAAAACAAAAACGAACGCCACGTGATCAAAAAACGTTTGTTTGAAAGAATACGAAACAGTTTTCGAAAGAAACCCTTGCGGACAAATAGTATCTGCACTGTTGAGGAGAACAATCACCACAGGAAAGTCAATATTATTCCAGAAGAGTTGGATCCTAGACCTAACCCACGTCTTCTGGCCTTCTGGCAACACGTTTTACTTCACTCTAACGACTCTCGCTTGTTACGATTAATCAGAGAATTGCGCAGGGTCAAGGACCGGCGAGTCTTCGCGATTGAAATGCGCACAAACAGTCGTATACAACTGAAAGAGACAAAAATCTACTCTGTCCGCGGCGTTCCCTGCATGGAACTTCGAATTCGTTCAGACCGGACGGAAAATTTGCAGCGTGCTCTGACCCAACTGGAGTCAGATTTCCCGAAGTTGTTCAAGCAGATTATTTTCTCCGAAAGGTTTTGTGTCCCACAGGGTGGGCACCGTTATCCGAACTCAAAGGAGTTTCTGCTTGGTGGTTACACCCCGTTGCGACACGAATCGCGATTAAGTACCATTTGCCATAAAGTACCAGCCGTCGATGGAGCCACACGCAAGTCACGTCGGACCGGTGTTACTCGGCGAAGCAAAGCCTGATTACGAGAACAATCATAGTCTAAGTTCAATCGATATTCGCTGGTTTTCGTTTCCCGATCATTGATTTTATACATTTCCGTTTCACACATCTGTGTCCGCTTTGAACCGCAAAAAAAGCATATGAACTTCCTGTGAAGAAATTCCATTGTTTTGTCAGCATACTGTCGTTGTACCTAGTTAGTAAAGCCAAATCGCACAGATGTGCCGTCTGCAGCTTTTCGCTTCATGGACAGGGATACAGTAGAGTAAAAAGAAAAAGCCCGATCGATATCGAATTTTTAGATTATCATCATCATCATCATCATCATCATCATCATCATCATCGACAGCATGACATCAGTGTTCAACACTGATCCTTCACTGCCGTACAACCATGATTTATTTGAAAGCCTTATTGT